AATTTTACCTTCGGTTTCCGACAGTATAGATTTTTAAATACCACATACACCAGGTAACCAGAATTCTCAACTGAAGACTCCACAGAATGGATATGGGTTTGTATGTACCATCTGATACTAAATTTAGGTTAAAATACATCATGAATTCTACTTCACAAAAACATTTAAGAGATTTATAAAATACCATCTCAGAAGGCCCACTGAGAACATAAAGTTTTAAGGAACTATAGCAAAACTGTCAAGATTATCATCTATATTGAAAGAGACTCCACAAAGAGACTTCTCTCAGACTTCAAAGTCTAGAGAGGGCATCCATCTGGAGCAATTTATCATGTCGTATTATTAACACATTCTAGCACAGAGAAAAGCATGGTTCTTTCTGGGATTCAGTTAAGTAGACATACAGGCATCTAAAGTTGTTTGAAATGCCCTGAAACATCCTATCAAGCTTCTAGATGCTGCTGCTAGCAGACAGTGGTCTGCTGTAGGCCCTGAGTTGTATTTTCTAGCCCATACAGAAATTAGGCATCTCAAACATACTAAACCATCTCAAATTTCACCAGATGTGTTTAAGAAACTCAGTGTATAGAAAAGATGACAACTACTTAAGGAGTTGTCTGAACTACTAGACTGTCTGCTGGATAACGTTACGCTCTTGTGTAATATCTACTCCCTCTTTCAATATAATTCCTCACTGTTAATTCCTTCCAACATATAGCCCGTGCTTGAAGTGAGAATCTGAAAAGACTGTAAACCAAAACTAAGTCAATTCTTTAACAACCCAGAATCAATCAAGCACTTTTGCCTACACCAAAACACATCAGTTTGTTCCTCGAAATGCTTCAAGCAGCAGTCCTTAAATTAATCAATACATCTCCATTACCAGTGGTAACACTGTGATACTTCCATCACTATGAACTCTTAAAATACAGCAGAAGAACATCCTTGAAAAGTTTACAAGTAAAATATGAACAAAACACTGCATGGAACACAAATCAACTCAAGACAAGCACCATATATAAATTGAGTAGGATATACTTCAAGTATAAAACAAACTTAATGAAAAGAGAAATCAATCTCTATATTAACAATAAACAGTTCTAATGTCAAAGGACAGTCAAAGACTAGAAGAAACATATGGCACAGAGTGCTGAATACCACTTAGACACTGATATTCCAGGACAGTACTTTGCAAATACAAAGAGTATTACTGCATAGGAAGCATGACCTTTTCTTTTCTTCCTGTTATATGGATTACCATCTACCTATACGTCCAAGAGACTGAAAACTCACTGGAAGAACTCACTAGGGAAAAGCTGATTCTGCTTTTCTGACGTCACAGAAAATGAGCCCACATGGCTAAAAAGTAAAGAGCTAACCACCTGTCATGTTATCAGATCAAGTTTTAAAACTAGCCTTCAAGCACTCTTATTTTTACACGTGTTTGCCTGAAATTCAGTGAAGAGAAATATGTGCAACACACAACACATAACATTAGCTTTGCTTCAGAGCTGTCTTCAACAGTATTATAAATTTACATTTTAAATGTTTGAAGTGACATAGTTAAAAATCACCACAGAAGTCTTCATACATTCTCATTTCTACAGATTAATAAAGATGCCTCTGTTTATAAAGAAAACCTTCTGTAACCGCAATAGCAGTGCAACATAGCTCAGTGGAGTTTAACAGAACTCATAGCACAATTTTAGAAATTCTTCACATCTATAAATTTACAAGGACTATGCATCTGAATGCTGCGCTTTACATATTCAGTGGCAATCAGGATATGGAGTCCCACCTGCATTCCGTGGGCTACACTACATGTCACTTCAAACTGTATGAAAGGTACAAACATTTCAAACTATTTATTAAATTTTCATATTTGATTCCACCAGTGTACATTTTTAGAAAACATGACCTCAGTCCTTATTCAGTTGCTTATAAAACCAATTATAACCTGACTAGGTCCTTAAAAAGTCACTAGTTCCACAGAAAATTCATCAACAAGTTGAAAATTCCTCGTTTTTAGAAGACAAATTCACTTATTCTTCAGGACACAAGTTGTCCCACCAGTGTTTCAACACAGCAGATTCTACAAAGGCCCTAGTTCACCAATACATATATTCATGTTATATACACAATTCTACTCCTTGCTTTTGGCATTATTAAATGCACCATATTCAGCTGAAAGCACCCATATTTTCAAGTTGTATTATTCTAAACATTCACATAAATGCAAAGATTGCTGCATACACTTTTTATAGAAACTGTGGAAAAATTGGTTTTCAGTTGCACTTCCCCATAACAGAGAATGTCTTGGGCATTTTAAAGCAAAAACAAAACAAAAAAGTGCTCACTTTGAAGCCTTTTGACAGAAAAATATTACAAGGGCTTTTACTCAAAATCCAAAGCTCAACAAAGGTTTTAGAACTCTGGTCACTGACACTGCAACTATCCATATAAAGTGGAGGCAGCTTTAAACAATTAGTTTTCATCAACTGGAATATACGTAACACTGCTGACAGTGCCAGAACCTTACTCTGCAAGAAGTGAAGCCTGTGCCACATTACTCTTATCTTAAAGCTGACAATGAGTGATCAATACATGATTTTGAATAAATAAATAAATTCAGGTATTAAATAGGGCCAGAATGTTTTTTTGGAAGCATGCCTCTATGTCCCTGGTGCAGAGATAAGTCCACTGTTTCGACAGGGTAAGATGTATCACTATTCCTCTACAGGAGAGGCTAAAGTAGCTGCAATATCCAAGGAAAACTTGGCAGCAGTGGCATCTCCATTTGATAAGCTAGATAGCTCTATGCATTATGTTGTACAGCCTTCCCTTTAAGGAATCCAAAAGGTAAGTCCTCGGGTCCTTTTTAAGCCCATGACTATTTAACATGCAGAACAACTTCATGGCTTTAAGGTTAGTCATGAACACTGACATTTTCATAGACAGCAAAAGTTAAATCTTTTGCTAGTGCTGATGAAATACAATCAAAATCAAACAGACCTTATGTCAGTCTCCCAGTAGCTAGAACATGCCTTACCTATACAATTTACTATAAAGATATTTGATTAAGAACCAACTATTTTCAAGTATCTTAGATTTTTTTTTTAAAAAAAGAGCGCTAAACGCTCTCTCCCAGTTCCACCTCACTAGCTTCCTACTCAATGTCTTGCTCAGACTTTCCTAGGTTTTCTACCACTCAGTCACAAAATGGTTGAAGTTGGCAGAGACCTCTGAAGGTCATCTGGTCCAAGCCCCTGCTCAGGCAAGGCCACCTACAGCTGGTTGTCCAGGATCACGTCCAGATGGCTTCTGAGTATCTCCAAACATGGAGATTCCAGAATCTCTCCAGGCAACCTGCTCCAGTACTCAGTCACGCTCACAGAACCTGCTGTGCTTCCATTTGCGCCCACTGTCTCTTGTCCTGCCACTGGGCACCACTGACAACAGCCTAGCTCCACCTTCTTTACACCCTCCCTTCACATAGACGTCGATGAGAACCTCACCCTGAGCTTTCTCTATTCCGAAGAATTCCAGCAATTCTCTCAGCGTTTTCCTCATGTAAGAGAAGCTCCAGTCCCTTGTCTTAGTGGTCCTTCACTGGACTCTATCCAGTAGCTGTTTCTTGTACTGGGGAGCCTACAACATGACATAGTACTCTAAATGTGGCCTAACCAGTGCTGAGATCACTTATCTCCACTAAACTGAAATCCTCGTCTAGTATTCCTTAAGATTATTATTCTTCTACTGCCGGCAGTTCAGTCCCCACTTCACTCATCAGTACTCTGCTAGAAGCTCCCTCCAATCTGCCCTTCACTACTTCTGCTGATTTCCCACTGGATGTAATTGCCTAAGTTCTGCTGCTTATCCTCTACCAGATTCTTCCTCTAGCTACTTATCTAATGCATTAACTAACTTTCTACTGAATTCAACCTCTAGCCCTTCAACCCCCTTTCTAATCCTTCATTACAGTCATCTAACAACTGATGATCCCTGAATAGCAAACTAAAGATGTAATTAAAATCCAAGATGAAGTAGCCCCTTAATGCTGCCAAAGATAAAAAAAAAAATCTTTAAAAATATTAAAACATCTACATACATTATTAGAGATTAATCAATATCAAGGTACCGAATAGGAAGAGAGCTTTGTTTTTCAAGTACACCTTGCAGTTTTCATTATGGGACTCTAACAGGATGTGCTCCACTTTATAGGTCACCATTTTATGCAGTACAACATACACAGAGAAGTGGAGTAAGAAATCCAGCACCTCTGAAAAGACCTTCAATCCACTAGAGCAACCAACATCACAAGCCTAAAGACTATCAGCACTACAGTAAAAAGATTAGACAACTTCATCACATAATTGATTCCTTTAACTAAATGAAGCATCCGGGCTTCAAGAACTATTTGTCTGAGCCTTTAGGGGCTATATCCCCCAAGCAAACATGACATGAATTTGGAATAGTGTCTAGATTATGTATGCAGCTGTTCTTATTTTGATACAAAAAAGTTATTCCTGCTATGATACCACTTCACACTGAGAGCTGTGGTGTAACAGTTAACCCGTCCAGTTCAGAAGCTCTCAAAGCTACATTAAATATTTACAGATCAAAAAGAGATCAAATTCAAAAGACTGTTTGCCTAGACAGATTCTCAAAAGGGAATTCCAGTGTATAGTTTTTCTGTTGAATGTTAGTTCTTTCCAAACTACAGAGACATTGCAACCTTGATTTTATAGTGGGTTGGGTTTTTTTTAAACCAGGTCTTCCAACAAAACATGAACTGGCAAGCTGTATCTTCTGTACTATCAAATCAACCAAGAAGAAACAGGTAGGAAACAAGCATTTTAAATATAATACAAAATACCAAGGTTTATTTCCAGTCTTCAGAGCTACTTCTAATAAAGCTGCATTAGCTATGTTTCTTTTGTTAAGTGTAAAGTTTTAGCCACACTTTAGATACACATAACTAAAACCAGTGGATTGCTTACCAAAGAAGTCAAAAGAAAAGGGGTCCCTTCCATCAAAAAACTCCCTAAAGACATCTTCTGGGTTACGGAATGTAAATCCAAATCCAAACGGATTATCATGATGATTTCCACCTGCAAAAAGAAGTTACATTTCCATTACTGTCACACATTCCTGCTAACAAGAATGTTCAGGCTTATGTGTTGAGTCATTTAAAAATATAAAAATATTTCTAAAATTTCTTTGTTTGACTCGTTAAGTCACATAATACTTTTTATAATTAATTCTCTTTTCTCTGTTTCCAGATACCAGTAGTACCTTTTACAACAACTAAAAAAGTTGTCAAAACAATTGTAATTTCAATTTTCAGATTACATTTTAGGCCTTAGTATAGGCATTTTCAGATTCCCATCTTAAAAAGAAAGCTTAAGAAAATAGTTTCCAGAATAGAGAAAGCAAAGAAATTTTAAGTTATCAACATACCTCCACCTCCATTTATTAAACCTTCTTTTCCATATCTGTCATAGATGTCACGTTTTTTAGCTACAAGGAGAAGTTGTACATCATGTCAGTAAATAGGCACATTGAATTTGACAAAAAAAACCCAAAAAAGACTAACTGGTATTCCCAGCCTAACATCTTCTCAAAGCTAGCTTATTTAAGGAAGCTCTGGCATGTAACTGGTGAAAATTTTTGCTGAGTATTGACGAAGCAATTCAGGTTGAGAAAGAACAGGTACTGAACTGCAGACTTATTACAGTTCAGTTCATTATTTAGTTGTAGAAGCTCAGGTCCTGCTGCATCAGAAAAAAAATTCTTCACAAGGAAGTTTGGCTTTGAGAAGAACACTGCTGTCTTTTATCTTTACACAGGTACCATGGAAAGCTTTAGCTTGTAAAGGTCCTCTAGAATTCAACCTCCTCCTCCAAACAAGTCTAACCTCAAAGTTGGTTAAAAAAAAACCCTGACCTCAATCTCCAAGGAAAGAAGATTCCACAGTCCCAGTGCTCAAGCATTCTCATTGTAAGCATTCTCTTCCTACTAACCATCTGGAATTTCCCTTGTTGCAAACCTCGAACATTGCCTCTCTTCCTTTTCTTGCACAAGACCAAGCCCATTGTGACAGTTATGAGAATGGAAGGACAATGTTTGTATGAGTGAGTGCAAAACTTCTCAATTTAATTACAGCCACTTCTAGTGTAATAAAGGGGAATGAAGTGATGTTAAAAAAAATGCTGTGGAAGGATTTTACTCAAACTGCTTGCTCTCTATTATTTTAGAAGGCATGGAATGGCTATTTCTTAATTTCATTGCAGACCAGCCTTCCAGTATCTGTGAGAAAGTGGAAAAAAAGAAATTAACTCTACATTACTACAGAAGATCAGACTGAACTTTTGCTACTGGAAGGGAACCTAAAGACCTTCAAGAGGCAGATAGCTTATTTTGCTTGCACTGGTGTGAAAGCATCAAGCCAAAACCCAGCCAGGGCATCTCATTTTAGACTCTTAATATTAACATGCTATTCCCAGTGGAATCTCTTCAGAGAATGATGTTTTTGAAATTTAAATAGATCACTGAAAGAACATGCAGTTACCTCAAACAGCTGCTGACAAGTAAAATACTTTTGACAGGAACTAAAATTTTATATACCGGTCATCATCTCCAAATAATGGAAACTCGCAATAGGTTCCCACACACACGTTCCCACAAAGCTTGGAACACTACCCATGCTGCCTTTCTAGAAAGCAATTTTTAAAGAAAGGAGGTTAACCTACCCACCAATGTAAAAAGATTGAAGCAGTAAGGCAGACAAACTGTCAGAAGGAGCAGGAAACAGTGAGAAAGACCTGAGGGTTCACAAAGCCTGAAGTTCATCTTGAAAAATATAACGTTCTTGAAACCACAAGGGAAGTGTGTTCTATGATCACCCAATTTCAGTATTCTTTGCTTATGTAACCCCTTACAAAACTATTCTTCTGCCAAAAATCTATCTTCATTCAAGCCTGTAATGGTGTCAGAAAATTTCATTAAGTCTGCAGAACAGTTGATTGCCTCTCAACCGCAGGCTCAGGATTCAGATAACTCTGATGCACAAATGATTGTTAAGACACCAGTAACTTCGGATTTGGTCTAGATCCAAAACCAGGCAGCATTTTTAGATGTTCTAAAATTCTAGCAGCATACTGTTTCTGAAGAATTTAAAAGATCTGTATAACAACCAAACTAGTATCCTATTTTTATCTTGCTCAAATTATTCGCCTAAGAAGGTTAATTTACTCTCAAAGACAAGTATACAATGAACTGCCAATAAATTATGTTCTGCTTCTGCCATGTCAATTAAGTATCAAAACCGAACAATGAAACAGGGTGTGCAAGACTGCAGCTTCATAAACCAGGCCAAATTCTGAAAGGTAATCTAGATGCCACTAGTGCTTTAAATATAGCCTTCCCATGCTCACTGGCCTCAGGTGAAATCAAGGACACTTCAGAAATAGCAGAGACAGCTGCAGTCAATTACAGGGGAAAATAATCAAACTTTGTTATGATTCAGACTGCTTTTGCCAGAACACTAGCAAGTTAATGATAATTTTCAAGCAAAAAGATAACTATAAGCAGAATTCCTGTACCACATGTCAGGCTAAGCAACTGTTTCAGAACAATTCAAAATAAACACTCTCCTCAGTATCACAGTTGACTGAGCTTATGGAATTCACACAAACACAATCCAAATTTTCAGGAAGGTTTACAGTATGATTGGGCTTTATCAAGACTAGCTTACTGTTATGACTAGAAGCAGTAGACCCAGCAGTAGATAGTTCGTAATTTGTCTATCCTGACTTTTATTGGAGAAACATACTAATTCCCCTATACCGAAGGTAACATTGGCTTTACCTCCTAAGATAAAATTAATCTTGGTATTCACAGATCTTCAGAAATGGGCCTGGCAAACACAGGATTTCAATTTTTAGAAGGAAACTGGTTTGATTACTCATATAGAGAAATCCTGAACTTTGTTTCAAAATTTCTGCTCATTCTGTCTTATCTGCAGCTTCTTTTTCTCTCCTTTCTTCTGAAAATGGGTAGTAGTCAAATTGAATGGTAAAGCAAAGTTACAATATCCTTTTAAAGCATACACATCAGCATTTCCAGTCTGATACCCAGACTAGAGCCCTGCATTTCAAAAGCTGTTTTAAAATACACACTTACCATCTGACAAAACTTCATAAGCCTCTGCTACTTGTTTAAATTGCTGTTCTGCTTCTTCTTTATTGTCTGGATTTTTATCAGGATGCCATTTTAATGCCAATTTACGGTACCTAAATGGAAGGAAAACAAAGGATATTTTACTCTGAAAGGAAGGAATATACTAAATGTTTCAAACAAGTTGTCAGGGATTAAAATATTTAGAAATTCCTGAGTACTTTGTATCTTGCATCTAGACCAGTATCAACAGATTCTGCACATACACAAAGAACCATCTACTCAGATTTGCTTTTAAAATGTAGGTTTCGGGTTCTTCAGTTATTTTGAGGTTATTCCTGTTCATTTCTGATGATCAATATCTGGCAGGCCTAAGCAAAACATTCCATACACTTCTGCTATGGGCTTCTCCTTAGAGCTCCATAATTATTCAATACTATAGCCAACCACGGGAAGCATCAAGATTATTCTGGTGCAAAGACGATAGAGCTTCAAGAGTATCCTGATACCAAACTGGCAGCATCCTAACATCAGTGGCTTCTTTGCCACAGCTGCACACAATTCCTATCCTCAAATGAAATACTTTAGGCAAAGTGCTCATAACTACTTAGAGTGGCAGTTAAGCTTGTGCTTAGCTTGATTTGGAGTATTTCACAGTCATCCAAGATCACTGTTCAAACATTTGAGTTGATAAAGTAGTATGTGCAGGAATTTGCAAAAGAACAAGGGAGGAAAAAAAACATAAATCAAACTTCCATGCACCGGTGCAATTTGATTAAGCTCAGGCACCAGGAGAAGGCAAGAGAGAAACACAGCATTTCCAGGTCACCTGAAACTGCAATTTATTGTCAAACGGTTTTGGTATACTAGGACTGTGTTAACAGAAATGTTTCTTCCCAATTGTTTGTTAAAAAGTACGCTGTATCTTCTGAAAATGTTACAAACACCCATCTTAGTACATAAACAGTAAATCTAAACTAAGAACTGTATGTAATTCCTTTGAACACTCCTAATTTAAACAGTGGGAGTCTTTTTAATAGTAACAGATGTTCATTCCATCAAAATCTGAGCACAGAAACCAGACCTCATGTTAAGAAAGAGCTAGTATCCAAAAAAGCACCTCTGCAAGTGGAGGGGAAGACTAGGTACTGCAATTCAGCCACAGAAGAAGGGGCTGTCACTGCCTGTACCATATCAAGTTTGTAGGTACACTTGTACAGAAATGTATTTAACAGTGATCAAAAAACAATGGCCAATGACATTTTCACTTCAGCAGTACTCAGGATTCTTTTCCGAATTTCATAAAAATGATCAAATTCTTTTCTTCAGAATATTTATCTGTTAACAAAGGTATCCCTCAGATGGCTACTACTCATTCTAGCATTGACAACAAAGTGAAAAATCAGAAACAATGGGATTATATTTGTTCCTTAAAATATATTTTTATATATATATATACATATATATACACACACACACATACACACACCCCCCAGTGAAACTTACGCTTTTTTAATATCTTCTGCTGAGGCATGCTTCTGCACTCCCAGAACTTCATAGTAATCCACCATGTTTCAGTAGTTGTCTTGTTAACAACAGCTGAGTCTTTCAAGTCCTGTAAGAAGAAGTTGTAAGTGAAGCTTGTCCAGTAATGCTACTTCATAAAAGTCAGGCAGAAACCTAGTATCTTCCAGTATGAAACCTGATCAGAGAAAGCTGCTTGGTTTTAGAAATTCGCATGTTCCAAACCCCCTCAAATAAAAATGCTTTATTTTAGGTTGACAGATCAATTACTTAAGATTCTGATTTTTGTTTGTGTTCTATAATCCCACTGAAACACAGTACACAGAGACATAGGTAAACAGCAGGTTCCTGAAACAAAAGGCTGAAAAGGTAGATTTAATCAGTACATTAAGAAGAGTATGTACAGTATGTGACCATTTTGATATATACATTAATAACTGAATGAAAAAGAAACCATGTATCACGCTCACCTCTGACACCTATGTCATGTCTTAAGCACATATGAGCCTAAACCAAAGGGCCACATCTTTCACATCTACTGTTCAGAACATTACTTCCACTGAGATGCTCCCTTCAAAGAAGCAATATGTATGTAGGTCTTAGAAATCTAAAATTACAGCTATAGAGTTCAATAAGCCTTTCTTGTACTCAAACTTTGACAGAAAATTCACATATTTCCAAAGCTACTGAATTCCATCTACTTCATTTATGTTTATCAACATAAAAGTACATAGCCAGGTAACCAACCAACTCAAGTACAGAGGAACCTTGTGTTTCTTAGTATAAGAGAATAAATTTTCACAAGAGTCTTAAAAAACCTACAAGTTAGAAGAAAAGCACCTGCCCTACTCAATTCAAACACGGACAGTTTCTTGTCAATATTAGTAATACTAACAAGGAACAGCTATACTAACCATTAGTTCAACTCAATGGCCACTAAGATTAAAGAATCCTTCTAAAAATTTCCTGAACATTCATCTCTTCATGTAAAGGTTTCTTCTGCCCACCAAGAAATGTCAGTTCTTGGCAAAAGTTCCAACCACCTTCCCATCCTGCTGCTGCTGCTGGTTCGTTTCATTTTATGAACAAGGCAACACTGACCTTCCTAATGAGTTATCAACTCTCGCAGGCAAAGTCACCCAAATGTACTTAGAACATAACAGCAGAGCAATTTGTTAGTCACATTTTCTTATCCCATGTATCAAGAACAAAAATTCATTGAAATCACTTTTTTTTCTCCCCTCAAATCATTCAGTGTTTTTCATTTCAGCCCAGGAAAAGTCTCATTTTCATGTTCTTTCACATAAATGAAAGAATGAAGCATAATATAGCCTGGTGAAATATTATGAAATTCATTTATGGTGCTAGTATTACATGTTTCTTTCAACATCCTGAGATATAAACATTAAAGAGAGACTGCCTTTTAAAATAAATTGATTCATCTTCAAAATACACTGCTGTTGTAGGTTAAAGCTTAATTAACTTTAATTAGGGACATGGTTATACACACATTTCCTCAAATGGCAAAACCAGTTTAAGAGATACCCTGCCACACTACCTCCCCCCTCCAAACTACTTACAGAAGCAAATGCACTGGAGGAGCTACATGTTTTTAAAACTTGGGTGGTTTCAGCAATCTAGTTAACCATACAGTCCCACAAACACTTACAAAATTAAAGTGTAGCAGGTAAACAGACCTCTAATTGACTTTGCCCTTTGAAGAAACCTCCACACTACAAAAAATACTAAGGGTATAGTTAATACTGTGACCAACACCGAGGGAAGCCAGAAGACATGCATTAAAATGTACATTAAAACTGCCAATACTAATACAGCAATGGCAGAGTTCAATATGTAAACATAGAGGTTACCAAAAATATCCCAGAATATTTGCTATCAACTAGGCCTTACTAATTTTGCTGTTCCCCAAACAATGGTTAGAACAAGCAGCTCTATGAATACACAAGTGAAGAGCAAGGTTAAGATGGGTTAAGAATATCATCAAATCCTGTAGCCAGTCCTTATGAGTAATAACATATACAGAACATATAGTTTACAGAAAGAAACTGGGGGGTGGGGGGGTGATGGAAATCTAGTATGAGTCAAGCTTAAAGCTAGAGGTCAGAGCCCCTCCTAACAAGAGCCTAAAACCAGTGAGCTAACAGCAGGAAGCCACAACATGTAAGAGCATACAGATATACTGGTTTTTTTCCATATTCTTCCTTCTTAAACACAAGACTCTCCTTAGCACTCCTCAATTTAGGCAGATATCTTAAGGGGAAAATTCAAAACTCTAGCTTCTACCTAGAATAAGCAGATAGGAAAAGTAACTTAAATGTAAAAAAAAAAAAAATCAATCACTTTTCCTAGAGAACTCTGCACACACTGGTATTGATTTTAATATGTATTTCTTTAAACACTTTAGCTGTTTAAGAGCAGTGCAGTCTTGTAAGTTCAGACTCAATACATACACCAATATAGCCCAAATAACAGATGCCTGAATTTGGGACCAAAAATGACTGCTGAGGCAACGTGACCAGCTCTTAATAGATTACTCTGACCCTAAGAAGCAACTCCATGAACAGAGGAATTATTTGTTTCAAAGAAATGTCTGAGGCTTTCATACTATATCTTTTTCGAGTGTGTTATTGCTCAGTTTTTACCTGCCATATAAAGTCTGAATTAAGACAAGCCAGTAGATCTCTAAAGAAAACAAACTGTTTATATTATCCTTAAACATTCAGGTGACAGTAAGGGTTCATCTCTAATTAATCACTATTTCTATCTGCTAGTTACCATAAAAGATAAACTGCATTGCTACAATTTTAGATATCATAGGAACTTTTTTCTTGTGTGCAAAAAGGTTTTAGCAATATTTACATGAAAAAATTCAAAACCACCTCAAAAAAACAACACACACACACACAAAAAAAAAACAGCCCCAGCCCAACACTCACAAACTAGAAAAGACCTGTCTCCAATCTTTCCAGGAAAAAAAGTAATCAAAATATTTGCTTAAAAAAAAACAATGACCACCAACTTGTAACAAAACAGAAAACAGCTAAAAAAAAAATCAGTAGTTTCAAGGCTAGTAGGAATCTGCATGGTGAAAATGCCTCAAATAAGCATGTTATATACCTTCCTGCAAAATGAAAAACAATACTCAACTGTCCTAACCAAAAGGACACTGACAAAAATCTTCTTCCAACCCCAAATCTGTCAAACAATTTGTTTCCAAATACACAAGCAAGGCTCATTAACTAGGCACTCAAGAGCTCTTTTCCCAAAGCCACAAGGAAGCCAGCTCACATTAGCTAATTTACCGCCTCCAACCACAGAAAAATCTTCAAAGTCTCAGAAGAAAAAACAAGCAAAAAAACCCCAGATGAAGTAAATTGTTTGATGGTCTTTGTGTCTGCTTGCAAAAATCTACAGTTACTAGTATTCATAATTGCACTGTGTTTACAGGATGTTATCAGTTACTCTTAATTCCTTCTTTGAAGCATGAATAAATCAAACATCCAAATGCTTATATGAACCAGAAGGTTCCATAGCTTACAGATTTCTCAGTCATCACAGAAGTAGTCAGCTTTGTTCTGGTTTATGGAGCAGGAGCCCTGAATGCTCATACTCACTCAAGGCAACTGATAGGAGTACATCACCAGGCTTGAGATCTCCCTCTGCACCACAGCCCAAAGCTAAACCAGTCTAAAGAGTTATCTTGAAACCCAGCTCATAAACTCTCTTTACAGCAAAGTCCTCGGCTACATAAAAGTCATGAGAAGAATTACAGAAGATAGATATGTAAAGAGCTACAAACTTTTGTAAGATCAGATGATAAAGAAAAAAAAGTAATGAGATGCACAACCTGCAGGGATGACAAAGCATCACTCAACTAAATACAGAAGGGAGGAAGGTATCCAAACAAAAAATTCTTGTACCAGACAGTGAGGGGCATGTAACCTTTGCAGTCAGCCTGGTCAGAAAAAGTTCTCTATTTCTGGCCATAAAGCCGTGGGGCAGCACGGAGAGTCCTGGAAGATGCCAGAATAGCTCAAGCTTAGTGATTAGCGGAGTCACCTGGGTAGGACATGGGAGTCCCAAATTCCTGATTCATACAATTCACAGAAGCAGTCAGTCATCACCATCCTGTGCAAGTCACACAGCCATTCAATTCCTAGTACCTGCCTGCTTTCTATGAACGTACCTGAAGAAGTGCGTCCAGCTGCTAACACAGGAAGAAGGAATATCCTCTTACAAATACCAGTTCAGCTAGAGCTTGCGCCCTACCTACTCAACAGCAACTGCGCAATTCAGAGATGTCTCTGGTATGTTAATAGATGATGCACACACACTTCAAGGATCTTTGGAAACTGCAACCTATGACTAAGAAAATACACTTTTTCGCATTCCAGGAGCTTTATTAGAAAGCAGTACATCAGCTGGACCTGATAAAATTTTACATTGCTTCAAAGTATGAACAGACTACAGTAGCATTAATACTGGTATGGGTCCAGGGCCATACAAAGAACACCAAGCAACACATACACACTTTCAGAGTTTTCTAGTATTTATCCATTTGATGTTTACATAGCTATGACACCTTTACTGAACTTTTTATTACTTACAGTACAGTAAATTCAGAGACATATATAAATATTTCCAGTCTTAAAGTAACATACTTCAGATGAAGTTGTCACTTCATCTGCTCACAAGCTACAGATTTCAAACGCAATTCACGAATTGTAATTACTTGCCTATACCTTTCCAAGTTAGCCATCTAAAAGAAGGGTAAATAAGGATCAACCATAAAGCACTATTTGCCAAGGCATCCAAGGCACATTTGTACCAGTGGCTCAAGGAGTTCTCATTGGCTTGAAGACGTCACTGCTTTAACAGATACTGGTTATAGAAACAAAAAAAGACAAACCTCACACCACAACTCTTCAGAACAGAAGACCACTCAGGCAACAATCAGGTGCATTTTACCTAGTACAACTCAGCAACACAGGAAGACACACCAGTCTCAAAACCCTGGCCAATTCCCAAAGAGGAGATCTTTGTCAGTTCTAGCAACAATATCTGGGATGCACCA